TATTGCTTCTGTTTCCACCGACACTGTCCGCATAGTGTATATGGCCACTTGGACAAATTCCCTCTCCTTCCTCTTCACAGACCCTAACTCCAGTTTCAAAATAGCACCACTGGACACCTGTTTTCCAACTCTGTGGCCGTAGATACGCAACAGAACCCTGCTGGGGTGTATCTGAGACTACTTCTCTTAAAGGGAACTTGTAACCGGTGCCATTGAGTGCTATTTTTTATTTAAATATGAAAAATGAATTTAGAATCACTTAGTCTTTACGGGAATGAGAACGTTCAGAAAAAGTAAGAAGAAGAAAATTTAAAAATGAATTTCAGTGCCTAAAATGGGTGCTTCAGGGGAGTGGAGAGAGAGATGGAGCGTTGTATCTCTGTCTCGGCTTCTGAAGCCCTGAACATGCTGCTTTCCCTGGACTGGTGCTTTAGTATTACAGGAAAAGGCAGAAGCGGGTTGAGGTCCCAACGTGGCGCGACGCTTTGAAGAGTCGCAGGACTGGCTGGATGAGCACCGCTGCAGCAAGTCTCCTGCCAGGATTCCTCCTGGCTGCTTCTGCTTCGGCTGCGGCTGAGTCAGAAAGGCCTGCCGGGGGGAAGCAGCCGCGGTGGGCCTGGCCAGCGCACGTTCTGCCGTTAGCTCTCGGCATCGAAGGCTGTGCTCTTGACCTACAGCCCAAGTCTGCTGAGAAGCTGGAGCTTACTAGCCGGGAAACCTGAGAGCTGCTCAGCCCCCAGACGTTGTCCACACCTGTGTCACCTCTGCTGTCTCAAAGCAGAGTCGGGGAGAAAATACACCCGTGCAGACAACTTGACAAAATAACAGTTACTCTGTTCATTAAAAAGTTGTACCTTCCTGATTGGACTTGAGAAGGAATTAAGCAATGGGGGCAAAAGGAAGGTTTCCTTGTCTACTACTTGTATCGTGGCTATAATTTATATGCCATAACCTTCACCCATCGTAAGCGTAAGTGTGATGAATTTTAGAAAATGTGTACACTTGCGCAGCCATCGCCACGGTCTTACCCACTACTTCTGGTCTCTGTGACATACGTGGAGGGACAATCAAGCACTGTTTGCACGTAGAGATGCGGTGGTGAGCAGCAGTGTTGCTTTGCCTGCAGCCATGGCCCGTTTCTCCTGGGACTTCACCCTTCCATGTGCTGTAGCACGGTGCCGGCCACAAAGCAGGGGCTCAGTGTTTGCTGAATGAACGGATGAACTGACATCTATAGTTGGTTCACAGTGTAGCAGTTTGAGCCCATTTGCTGTTTTGAAGGGAGGAACAGGGAGGCAAAGGAGGGCAGTGACAGTAAGGATGGCCTGAGGGATTAAGCCCTCAGGGAGGGAGGGGAGGTGGGGGGGCTGGAAAAGGTGAAAGGGAGGCAGGCGATCAAGCAACTTCTATCGCCTCTGTGCCCAAGTTTGGTCCAATGGAGCGGCAGCAGCACCGGGGACTTGTTAGAAATGCAGAGTCTCAGGCTCTACCTACTGAATCAGAATCTGCATTTGACAAGATCCCCAGACGGTCTGTACAGCGAAGTTTGAGAAGCACTGATAGACAGTCTCGTGGCATTTCTAGAACAATGCAGCAGCGCAAGCAACAGCAAGAAAGGTAGGACTACAGCCTGGTTTCCCACATGGAATCACCTTTAGAAGGTTAAAGAACAACATTTTAAATGATGAATTTGATTTTGAAAATCCACCATTTTTGCAGGCAATCTGGGCAGAAAGATAACATCTTCACTGAGAGTCTAATGAGTGACTTTGTTAAAGGACCATCCCTAGGAAAATCCATTTCCTTTTGTGTCTCTTGCCTTGGACTAGTTTTACTCAGCCCTGGTTCTCTGTGTAGTAACTTTTCCTGGGGCTAGGAGCTAATTAGAAATGCATTTTAGAAGGGATTTCATAAGGACATTTTAACCAGGTGGAGTCAGAGAGGATCACACCCATGAGATGCTGGATTGCAAGGTTTGCACTAGTAGAAGAAATCCATGTGACCTCTAAACACAATGAAAATCATTTCTTCTTTGAACAAGTTTCCTTTTACATTTAAATTCTAGTCAGAGCCTCATTTACTAATATTACTGTCTTTCGAATCTTTCCTCCTTGTCCTAACATGCTCATGAGAATGCGCTTCCCCAGCTGGACTTGGAGGAGCCTGGATGCATCATGAACTTTCCTGACTCTGAGCCCTGTGGTCGTGTCGGTCCCCTCACCAGTACAGCAGCCCCCTCATCCGCAGGGCAGAGGTTCCCAGACTCCCACTGGACGCCTGAAACCACAGATAGTTCTAAATCCTACATATGCTATGTTTTTCCTGTACATACATACCTATGACAACATTTTTTGTTGTTGTTGTTTTGTTTTGTTTTCAAGACAGAGTCTCCCTTTGTCACCCTGGGCAGAGTGCAGTGGTGTCATTGTAGCTCACTGCAACCTCAAACTCCTGGGTTCAAGTGATCCTTCCACCTCAGTCTCCCAAGTATAATAGCTGGGACTACAGGTGTGCGCCATGACACCTGGCTGATTTTTCTATTTTTAGTAGAGACAGGGTCTCACTCTTGCTCAGGCTGGGCTTGAACTCCTGAGCTCAAGCAATCCTTCCGCCTTGGCCTCCTAGAGTGCTAGGATTACAGGCGTGAGCCACCAGGCCTGGCCTATGATAAAGTGTAATTTATAAATTAGGCACAGAGATTAATAATAACTACTAATAAAATAGAACTATTATAACAATATATTGTAATATAAGTTACATGAATGTGGTTGGTTGGTCTCTCTCTCTCTCTTTCAAAACATAATATATAATATATAATTTTCAGACCACCAGTAACTGAAACTATGGAGAGCAAAATCACAGATACGGGGGGGACATTGTAATGGCTCCTCTTCCCCCTCTCCCCTTTCTTCCAACCATATGTTCAAGACAAGGTTTAAGAGGTTTTTCTACAAAGCCTCCCCGCAAACACTCTAGTCTGTCACTGAGCTCTTTTCTGATCTCTCTAGTCCTATATTTAGCACACATGTAGGGTTCTCAGCACATGCTGCCCTGTGTTGCTGTTTAGCTCTCCAGAGACATGCCCTGTCATCAAGAGCAGAGGAATACCCAGGTCTCTGTATTCCCATAACTGATGTCACAGCTGGGTCACAGTGAGTGCTCTTTCAACATTTCATAGATCCTTCTGGAGGTCCAGAGAGGCCTGGGCCACTGCCAACTTTGGAGGCCTTCAACCATGATTAATTTTAAATGAAAATATGTGAAAAATAAATAGATCTAGAAAATCCCTCAAATATTTTTCTAGTTTTTTGTTATATAAATATGTATTACGTACTGAAAAAAAATCTACCTCTTTTGTAGAATTGCTTTCAAATACAAGAAACAATTCACATATCAAAACATTAATAAATATAGTCTATGCATGTACATGTGTGTATGTGTGTGTGTGTACACATGTACACATACATACATACAGAGCCACACGTGCACATCCTATTACCAAGCAACTGTGCTTCACTGCAGGACAAAGCGTGTCTCCTCCATACACAGCAGAGTTGCGGACCTATCACCTCACCCAACACTAGCATTCTGGCAAGTTTTCACTGAATTTAGCAAACTTTAACTTTTAGCTTCCTTTAACTCCATCTAGCAAGTGAGGATATTCCTATATTTTATATGCTGCTCTAAGGTTCATGGATGAAAAGAAATATTGGTACACATTTTTTCTGTTGTCATTTGTTCTTACAGATGAAATGCCCTTGTATCCTTCATACTCATTCTTTTAAAGACTACAGGAGACCCAAAATACCTGTCTGTGTTGCAACAGATTACAAAACCTTACCCAAAGACCCACTTCCTATCCAGGCTGAACTGGCTGCCTTTGAGGCCGCTCCACTGCAGAATTCAGGAGCAGAGATGAGGCTTGTCTGACATGGGGAAGTGTCATTGAGGTGATACCTTTGAAAAAGCCCAGTTTTAGAACCTTGCCTCTATCTCTCAATTTGAGGCAGTATCTATTTTTGAGTTTCTAAAAATAAGTTATTATATGACTTGGGAAATTACAAAGATTGCCAATGCCAAGAACTTCTGGGACTCTACTATGTCAGTGGAGTATCAGCACATTGATGGAAGTGTGGACAATCTGGATTCAGAAGACCTGGTTTGAACCCAACTCTGCTTCTAACTGGGCTGTGTGACCTTAAGTAAAATTATCTATCTCTGAACCTCCAATTCCTCCTCTTTAAAATGAGGATGATGATGATACTTATTTTACAATGTGAAAGCGAGGCACATGGGAAATGACAGACATGAAAACACCTTACAGTTTGTAAGTTACTTATTAGTAGTACAACTAGTGTTGCTCTACTGCAGTGGTTCTCAAACTTCAGTGTGCATCAGAATCACCTGGAAGACTTATTAAAACACACATTGCTGGCCAGGCACGGTGGCTCACGCCTGTAATCCTAGCTCTCTGGGAGGCCGAGGCGGGAGGATTGTTTGAGCTCAGGAGTTCGAGACCAGCCTGAGC